AGGAGGGCCACGAGGATGATCAGGGGGCTGGTGCACCTCCCTTATATAAGAAGACAGGCTGAGAAAGTTGGGGCTGTTCAGCCTGGAGAAGAGAAGCTGCGTGGAGACCTCATAGCGGCCTTCCAATATCTGAAGGGGGCATACAAAGGCACTGAGGAGGGACTCTTCATTAGGGACTGTAGTGGCAGGACAAGCAGTAATGGGTTCAAACTTAAACAGGGGAAGTTTAGATTAGATATAAGGCAGAAGTTCTTTACAGCGAGGGTGTTGAGGCACTGGAATGGGTTGTCCAGAGAAGTTGTGAACGCTCCATCCCTGGCAGTGTTCAAGGCCAGGTTGGACAGAGCCTTGAGTGACATGGTTTAGTGTGAGGTGTCCCTGCCCATGGCAGGGGGGTTGGAACTAGATGATCTTAAGGTCCTTTCCAACTCTAACAGTTCTATGATTCTGTATGATACCGAAATCGCAACATCCCTAACCATCAAAATTACTGCAGATCCTCCTCAAAGACAGGCATTTAGCATAGCCAATTCAAGTTTATATGGGAATATTAGTGTTACCTGTTCACTAATGACATGGAACTCCCTCATCTCGTCCTCTGTTAGTGGAGCATATGTTTCATCATTTTCACTGTCTTCCTGCCAGCCCATCTCCTTCAATAACCTTTAAATTAAAAAGGACAAGATTAAGGAATTTGCTACATACACTTGTACATTTCAAGCTCTGCCTATGTATTTGTGTGAAGATCTGTAACAAACTGATTAATCAGTCTCTAACTTTTTTTGAACAAACTCTTACTTAAAGATAAGTTTAAAAGCTTACAGAAGATAAATAAGCACAGAAGTAGAGAATTCTCAGGTCTTTCATAGATCACCCTGTTTTACCACTACATGTGGTAAAAACTGTACCTTCATTTTGAGACAGACATCTCTGTCAGGTGGAAAATTAAGAATGCATTTTCGTTGCATAACTGCTCTGGTGGAGCAAGAGGCTACATGATACTTAGTTACAAGATGTATTTAAGCCATGACAGGATTAAAAGAAAGAAGAGACAGATTCCTCTCATGACTAAGTTTGAGATATCCAAAGATGCAATAATCAACATGGTTTAGCGAGTGCCAAAAGTGGGACAGCAGTATCTGAGCAGGTAGAGAATGGTATTACATATGAAGCCGCCCCGCTGTAAAAACAGGGGTTATCTGAGAATGAAGACACCATGACATTTAACAACCAAGACAGTAAGTTCTCTTGCTGCAAAGTTTTTGCAAAAAAGATCAGTATGTTCTTCAGGCAAACCATGCACCTTTTACCTTATATGATGAGAGAAATTAAAACTATTTCATAGAAAATAAAGATGTTTCATAGTAAAAGCCTGGAATTGGAGAAGGGGAAAACAGAAAAAAGCATTACTCTGTTCAACAAAAAAGGAAAAAAAAGGTACAGAAATGGAAATTACATCCTTTGTAGTATTTGGGCCGAATTTGCAATGTGACAGCCAGGAACAACTAAATCCTCAGGAAGTAGCAGAAATAAAATGCAAGTCATCCAAAACTCTCTTTCAAGAGAATGAGTGCATTTATATATACATCCAGAAAAGAATCACAATGCCAAATGCAGTTCAATGATAGTTATATTTTTGGCAACGGCAATTTAAGTATAGAAAGTTTTACTGAAGCAAGGTAAAACGTTAAAAATATGTACAATAAAGTGAACAGCCACAGAGCTCCTGTTAATGTAAATTAAATTTAAGGCAATGACTACTTAACATTTAAGCAACGCACTCTAAAGTTAGCAGGGCCACTGCCCCTATAAACCAAGACAAGACTTCTAGAATGGTTAAAAGGGTGAACTAAATGAAAAAATTAAACTTCAGATTAGCAAACTTGACACCAACAGGACAGCTGCATTTTGGAAACTTCCCCAGCAGAAGAGAAGCCCGAGATATACTTTATACAAGATATGCCAATACTGTTAGTAGGTATGCACAAGTATCCTTGTTGAGTTAAGCTAGCCACTTCAAGTCAAGTTTACTACAAAAAGGCTTACCATGTAACAACTGTCTACATGTATGCAAAAGTCACAGCCAAAGGGCTGGGACACTATGGAGACACAGTCTTTCTGGAATACAACAAAAGACAGACATATGCACGGAAACCCTATGAAGGCCAGTCAAATCATGTGAATTGAAAAATGAGAGCTAGACCTCTTCTACCTTCTAGTAAGAAAGTCAGCATCAGCAGCCTCTAGTGGTCAAAGATTTCTGCTTCCACAGCCAATGGTGGAAAATGGGAAGAGAGTAAGGTGCATTTCATTTTTCATACTCACAAGGGATAAGAGGTCATGAAAATTTCCTCTGCAGGTATTTATTACAAATATGAAAGTTCTCTAGTCCAATGTATACCTATAATCTATCACTATAAACAAATAAAATCACTGCAATTCTGTAGTTGCCAGAAACAGTAAGAATCTGACAGAGCTCATGCCAAGCGTATCTCCAGACATAAGTTGTGATTTCCAAGCAGGTCATCTCTACCAGTTGCTACTGCAGTTACTTTTCTGAGATAGTAGAAATATTTTGATCCCTTTTTGAAGTTACTTTCTCCATTTCCAGTACATTTTCTTACGATATCGCTGACAATGTCAACTAGTCAGCTACAGAAGTAACTAACAATAAGGAAAACCTCGAGTTTTACATAAGATGCAGCCATTGAAAGATTATTAATAGAAATAGCAGTTACATGCACTGTTACTCATAGACATGCAGACCAAAATCAGAGGGATGAAGTCACTATGCAGTTTGTTTTATTTCTTTATAAGGAAATACATCAAATTTTTAGTAAAGCAAATTTAAATCAGCACTCAAGTCTAGTGGAAATGAAGTATAGTTCATGTAAGATTAGTACATGTCTAAAAGTTAAACTTTGGCGCTACTCATTAAACATGTGTTCTCGGTTTTCAGATTCTGACTTCTTAACTATTAAGAATTTACGACATGCTCTCTTACCATGAAGAAACTCTCCATATTATATAAAGTACATACGTATGTTCTCCATATTAAATAAAGTACATACCTATGCTCTGCCTCAAGTGAGCTTGAAAGAACATCTGCCTGAGGGAAAGCTGAAGACTGAATGATCTGTTGAGATGTAATTGAAGCACTGCCATTCTCCTGTGGAATTTCATTTTCAAAGTTTTGGTTTACATCTCTCTCATGAGGAGGACTGTTGCTGTTATGCAAGTTAAAGGACTCATCATTCTGTCAAAAAATAGTTATATATTACAAAGTTTTAAAGAAAATTCTATTCACAAGTAAACATCTGCAAGTGCTGCAATTCATTGATTCCATTTAAGTTCAGTTTAAATGGAGACACTCTATACTACTTCTGTGGTAATTCTGTTCATACTCTAGAGTTTGCAATACCTGAATACTTAATAATACTTAATACTACCTGAATAAATTTTAAGTTATGCCACTGAAAAAGTAATGTGGAAAGTAACTCCCATGCTCTGCCTCAAAATTTTTCCACAAAGTTTCACGTATATCTTAAAATTCAAACTTATTTAAGCTGCCTTTCATACTTACCAAAATAATAGGTTATCTGTGAACCTGCAAACAATGTTCCTAATTAAGTATCAGAAATGTGTGTCAGGGGAAGTTTGACACATAAAAGTTCTCAAATTTACTTAGTGTATAGGACAGGTCACAGCCACCATACCTCAATCAGCAAATTCACCTGCCTCATGTTCAGAAAGACTGGGTGCTGCTCCTTAAATTCAGACAGCTGCCCATACACACGTGTATTCACCACACTTTCTCAGTTACAGCAACTGTGACTCAGTAGGCATAAAATAAGAATTATTAAGAAAGTTTATTTAGAAAGCAGACTGTTCAGGTTCACTTAAATATTAAAAGCTCTTTAATCCTATAAACCAGTGATGTTTCTTTTTTTTCTACTCATTTGGCAACCTGTAATTCTTATTTAATGTAATGAGCCAAATAGCCTCAGAAGTCTAACCAACTACAATAACAGAGAGGAGAGTACAATGATTACCTAGTTAACACCCTTTTGACAACAAAATCCCTAAAGCCGGCATATGGCAGCACTATCCACAGCAGGTGGCAATCACTCAGTAAGCCAGTTTGGCACTTCTAAGAAACCATACTTCAGAGTACAGGATCAAGACCATCATTAATATTTCCAGAAATTTTAGAACCCTGAGCAAGAATTTCTTAAGAACAAGTATCACAATAAACATACATTCAGCTGTTAAATCATACGCCTGAAGAAAGGATCTCAGATTATCAAACAAAATTGATAAAAATATTGAACAATTTCAATACACTCAGGGCAAAATAGCTTCTTCCAAGCAAGATTCAGCTACTGATTATGATTCGCTTTGTTTCAGAGGTGAAATCTGTTACTTTAGGCCTTAAAATTCTATCAACAGGATGATAAGACTTATGCAGTCACCTCCCCATCCACTCAGTTGCACACCATGTCTTCTACTGATGATCATTAAAACGAATGCTGAAAGTAGGACAACTATTAGATGATTGATTTAACATCTTTTCACACCTGTTAGTATGATAACTATGCTTACAGCTTATTGGTGGCTGGTAGCACTGACACAAATATTCTCTGGTGATAGCTAAGTACTCAATAAACAGATCCAGATCGAAAGAAACCTGACAAATACTATATAGACAGAATAGGCCACCAAGTTCTCAACTACGAAGTAAGACCAGGTTATTTATATATGCGTAATCTGAACAACTGCTCATATGATTACACCAAGATAAGGGTATTTCTGGCTACCTAAACACTTTTAACTAGAAAAGAAATGTTTTAAGAAGCAGAACCAAGTTTTTCAATTAAATGTTTTGTAGGATAACTAACAGCCAAGGTACAGAATACTGTCCTCCACAAGGGGGCCAGATGGGATCCACCCAAGACAACCAGCAGCATCCTGGCCTGCATCAGAAATAGTGTGACCAGCAGAACTAGGGAAGTGACCATCCCCTGTACTGGGCACTGGTGAGGCTGCACCTTGAATCCTGTGTTCAGTTCTGGGCCCATCACTACAAGAGAGACATTGAGGTGCTGGAGCAGGTCCAGAGAAGGGCAACAGAGTTGGTGAAGGGTCCGGAGCACACGAGAAGTCTGAGGAACCGTGGGTTGTTTAGTTTGGAGAAGGCTCAGGGGTGACGTGATCACTTTCTACAGCTACCCGAAAGGAGGCTTTACTGAGATGTAGGTCAGTATCTTCTCCCAAGTAACAAGCAATAGGAGAGGAAATGGTCCCAACTTGTGCCAGTGGATGTTTAGACTGGGTATTAGGGAAAATTTCTTCTCTGAAAGGAGAAGAGTCATTGGACCAGGCTGCCTAGAGAAGTAGTCAAGCCACCATCCCTAGAGGTATTTAAAAGATGTACAGATCTGACACTTCGGGACATGGTTTAGTGGTGGACTTGGCAGCGCCAGGTTAATGGCTGGACTCAACCTTAAAAGTCTTTTCCAACCTAAACGATTCTAAGATTATGTTAGTGTACTATGCTTAATTTATGCTTTTTATTGTTGCTATAGACACAGATGTACCTAAGCTATTAGCATGTATGGACAGGTATTGTAGAAGATAAAAAAAAGAAACTATAAAGAAGCACTGGAAGAACAGTACTTGGAACAACTTCAAATTCATCAAAATGTCATTTAGAGATCCTAGAACATGACTTAACAGCTGTTTACAGCAAAATAAAAAGTAGTTTATGGTCCATCTGAGAACTACTGCTGTAGTACAACATATACATACAATAGGTATGAACAAAACTACCTTATTTTGCGCAGCATCATTCTTATTTTCATGTTCCTCTTCCACTCTATCTTGTTTCAATGTTTTCAAAAATTCACTCTTCTTATCAGTCCGCATTCTTGTCAATTTTATTAAACGAGGCTGACCAACTTTGTCAACAGGTGATGAAGAATTTGACCGATTATACTAATGTAGGGAATCAGAAAGAG